TAGCTCTCCTGGTTCCGTTTATAGACGGGGTAATCAATAACCCAGAAGAGTTAACTATTTGCTAGAGAAGCCAAAATTCTGATGGTAATTCCTGTTCAGACCAACCCGGGGGGCCGAAATCACCCCAAACCAGAGCCGTCACACCGTGCCTCGTGCCAGCACCCAGTGGCCTCGCTAAAGGTCAGGCGGGGTGAACGCAGCTACCGCGTAAGCAAAAGAAAAAGAAATTACAAGCTTATGCCGTGTATTCTGGCGTGCGACATGTTCCGAAGCCCTCCCGGCTGTCTGGCAACCCTTTCCGGAAGGGAACTCGCTCCCCAGGTGACAGCCCGCGGCCCGGAGGGCTCTTTGCTGTCCCTCACCGGCACCGGGTGCCCTTCGCAGAGGGGTTGAACCTTGGAAGCACCTTTGGGTTCCACGGTTCAGCCTTGGGAGGTCTGCGAGGGCGCTGGGCCGCTCGCTTTGGGCAGCTCGGCTTGGGAGAGCTCCAGGGAGAGCCCCGTCTTGCTCAGGTCCGGGGACGCTTCCACGGCTGGACGCTCTCCGGTGCGGCCGGTTGGGCACCACCAGCTTCACAGCTCCAACAGACCTTCCCCTGGGTGACAGCCTGCGGCAAAGCCCCTTCCCCGCGACCTCCCTCGGAGCCCCAGCCCCCGGGACGGGATCCCCACCCCAGCCAATCAACCCCGTTAGCGCCGATTAGCTCTGCCTAAGCAGAGGAGGAAGGAGAACACGGACCTTCCTCTCCCCCAGAGCCAAGCGTGTTGGGGGAGAAAGGCCGTGCCACGAGAGAGTCCCGTTGCCCGCGTCCTCGCGGCGGTGGGTGGCCGGGCTGGCGCGGCTGAGGTTTACCTTTAAAAACGTGCAGGTCGTCGTGAAGGTGTTCCTCATCCATCCCGGGAGGCTGTGGCTGGGAGCGGGGACCGAAGCTCAGCACCAAGTAAGCGGAAGCTTTTTCACCAGGATTTCTGGAACAGAGAACCTGCGATACCGCTAGGGATGTTCAGTCCAAAGGTTGTAATTTAACCAGCAGGTTTTCAGGCCGTGTGTCCTATTGGTTTGTCCTCTCAAAATAGCGGCTTGGATCGTGTCCGCTTCCAGCAATTCAGCTGCCTGGAGGCTTTTCCCCCAGCCAAGCTGGGCATCCTTTTTATCTAGAACATCTCTCCATCCCATCTCCATCAAAAAAAAAAAAAGAGGGGGTAAATTCCCGAGTTTCTGAAGGTGTTTCCTGCAAGTGGAGGTGAAGGAACAGACCGGTGTGGAAAGGAGTGGGTCTGGAAAGCGAAGGGGGAGGCACAGGCAGTGCCCCCTCAGACGCGCTCGCCCGAGAAAACAAAACGGCTCCGGGTCTGATCAAGCACCCGTACGAACGCGCCGCGTAAACCGCCGCGCGACGGAGGCGTAGGAGCCGCTCGCTGATGAAGGGTCGCTCCCTGCAGTAATTGATCACCCAGGAAGTTTAGGCGCCTTCTGGGTTTTCGTTTCAGTGGACTTTCACTCCCGATGGGGCTCTGAGAGCTGTTTCGTGCCCTGGCTCTGCAGAGGGTTGAGCTGGCGCTGCGTAAGCCTTTTATGCTGTATTTAAAAAAAAAAGTTGGGCTTTGATAGCGTGATGTGTATATAGACAGCTGAAAAGCGGGGTTGGGGGAAGAACCGTTCAAGTTAGAGGTTGGCGAAAGACGAAATGGAGACAAACAGAGCAGAAACCCCCCCGAGTTCGGAAACTGGAAGCAGTAAGGGTCTAGAACGGCTCTCCAGAAGGTACGGTGGGTGCCTGAGGAGAGTGAACTGCTGTGCTACCGGGGCAGGAACAGAACGGATGAGTTCAGAAGACCCTTTCAGCCCCTTATTCCTATAATTCGCCTGTGGTCATTGGATATTTACGGTTCCCCTCCCGCTTCCAAGCCTGAAAAGCCCACTTTGCGCCATATAAACTTGTAATTGCCGTTCTGTGCTATTCCACGTTCAGCAATTATGCGCCCTGCGGAGATGATGGAAAACTGGCAAGTTGGGACTGTCGGATATTAAATTACGTTGTTTGGAGCGCTGTGCCGTCAGGCTCGCAAACATCCCACTGCAAACATTGGGAGAACATTTAGGTTCTCGCCGCATCGAGCTGCGCCTTGACTGACTGACTGACTGACGATTTTTACTGTTTTTAATTTTCCCTTTTGCTGTTTTACCTTTGCTCCCCGAGCCCAGAGAGTGCTGGGACAGATAGTGCTTGGAGTTTTAATAACGCTAATCACTCCAGCGTAAATTCTGGGTCTGTGATAAACACGTAGTGGTAGTTATTAAGCCAGCAGCCTTGGGATGCTTTCCAAAGCAGAGCTGGGGCATTTAACCGCTGTTTATTTGCCCCAAAGCTACACCGAGATTGTGCACAGGAACAGAAAGGAGGCCAGGGCACAAAGACCGGTTGTTAACGAGACACACAGCAACGAGGATTTCGTCACACGGGGGTCACTGCCACCCAGGTCTGTCTGAAACCCAACTGCTCATTGCATAAGCTGCAGCTGAATGGAGGGCGGGGGGCAAACAGCTGTATTTCGAGGCAGAGCCCAGAAAAGGCTCAGCTGAGATGTTAATCCTTCTGCTGTGCTTCCTAGGAGGACGCTCT